AACATGATCTTGGTGGCACGCAAAGTAAGTCCTTTATGAGGAAAAAACAATCTTTTTGGTAACCATTTTCTCTTTCAAAGTTTATTATTTCCCCTGATATTATGCCTATTAATTTCCCAAACTCCTTACAGTCATGAAAATTGGCTATGGCAACTCTTCTCTTTCTCTTTTGATGTATATTTTTATTAAATTGTTTTTCCCCCCTGTTAAAGTCCCCAGGAATTTTATGGAATTAGAAAACCCTGAAATGAGAGGCAAATTACTTAATTTGCTCCACACGTAATTCACAATTTCTAGGTATTTGGGAAATCTGATTGCTGTGGAAAGCATAATTAATCAGAAGAGCCTCTGAGGATAAAGTGTTGTGTCATTAAATTAAGTTTCCTTGAGGTATCCTGCCCTATGAGTGACATGTGGAAGCAATTTCCAGTCCCTGGAAAGGGTCAGTAGAATCAGCCTCTGGCATCTCCTTAGTGAAGGCTTCGTTTATCATCAACAGCTTTGAAGTAACAGATATACTGCTGAAGGCCAGGATCAGATAGCTCAGGAAACCATTGGACTCCATTTCTGAATGTTGTTAGGTCTGCTTGCATGGACAATATTCTCACCAGCATAGCCTAATGTTCACTTCTATCTGATTTTATCCCAAAACCTTATAATGCAACAAATGGAATCAAAGTTGCAATGAAAGTGACAATATTGTGCATGTCTTTCTTGATATTGTTATAGCCCCGCCCCCCCAATCTCCACAGCCATGCTGAGATTCCAGGGGTTACCCAGGGTTTGTGTTTCCTATGGAATGAGGCAAATGGAGACTGTGGTATCTTTCTGATGTATGTTTTATTTACAGTTATACAGTGGTGCCTTGCAAGACGAAATTAATCCGTTCCGCGAGTCTCTTCGTCTTGCGGTTTCTTCGTCTTGCGAAGCACGGCTATGCGGCAGCGGCAGCGGCTATTACGGCAGCGGCTTTAAGAAAAAGGAAACAAACTCCCAAGAACTCACAAGACGTTTCGTCTTGCGAAGCAAGCCCATAGAGAAATTCGTCTTGCGGAACGACTCAAAACCCGGAAAACTCTTTCGTCTTGCGCGTTTTTCGTCTTGCGAGGCATTCGTCTTGCGAGGTACCACTGTATACACAACCTGAGCCTCCTGTGGAAGGGTTCAAAGCATGACACTCAAAATGGGTTCTGTATCTTTCCTGGCTGCAATGTTGGATCCAAAACTGGAGGCAGCCCCCATGGTGCTCTTATCCCTACTTTCTCCCGTTTACAAACTGCTCGTAAAACACAACTTTTTTTCCAAAGGCCAGCTAGAGAGACCTGGAGGGTGACATTTGTCCCCTGACCTGAGGTTCCCCACTCCTGACAAGTTGTGTTGTGGCAAATTCAGAAGATCAGGGTCCCTTCATGGTAATCACAGCAACGGCCCCTCACAGTAATGCCCTGCTAACAATACACTACCTTCTAAGATTATACAACAATATTACAATTATACAATAATATTTATTATTAGGGATGCATCACTATGATCACTGCAGAGCTGCATGTGTTGCCTTTCAGCAAAATCAATATTCTGTGCATGTACATTGGCAAATGATTTGGAGTACTCCATATTTCAGAATGACTTAAAGTTGTATTTTTCCTTGGATTTCCATTGCACTTAATAGAACTTACACTCCATTCTCTTGAAACTGAAGCACACTGAACTGCTTTCAGTGTTCCTAAATGCTTACCTTTGGAGCATTGAGAAGAACCCGTCGGTTTTCTTCCTGAGCACCTTCTCCAGAGTGACCCCAGGAACTAATCCTCAGTGGCTAATTCACCTCCTTTCTCTCAGAGTGTATTTGAACTGTTTGTCTTATGTGGAATTATTTTTTTATAGTGTTTTTACTGTTAAACCACTTCAATATTATCTTATGGGAAGTAATTCACAAATGGGAGCAAATAATTAACAAACAAACACCACTGACTTATCAATTGCAGTTACACTGACTGGACATTCCTGAAGTCCAAACGCTTGCAGCTATTCTGGTCTTGCACATCAGCTGCTCCTGCCAACTACACCCAGGTGCACCTCTGCCTCTTCTGTTAACAAAATGCTTCTTTTTATGATGCTCGTGACAGAGCGTGGGCCCATATATTAAAAGGAAAGGGTTCTGAGATGTGCTGCACCTGTCAGTCAGACTGTGGGCAGCTGTTGACTGGAGACTGTGAGGTCAAAACCAGAGAACAAAGGAAGGCTTGTCTTGAATGGGAAACCTTTATAGCTCTTCCTGGTGAAGAGAGCCAGTTGCCAGCTTGGTGGGTGGAGTCACCCCAGGACATATAAATGCTTAGCTTATTGCTTAGGTAGACTCTGCATTTTGCCCATCGCACTGCCATACAGGGCAGCTGTGGGTTCTTGGCTCCTGCACCAGAAGCTCCTGAGAGCATATTGTATGGGAGGGATATGGGAGTCCACATCTGAGGGCAGAGCATGGTGCTTTGCACCTCTTTGAGCCTCTCTCTCTGTCCATCAGCACTCTCACCAGCTGTGTGTAGAAACAGGCTTAATGTTAAAAAATAAATAAAAATACATTCATTGTTCCACCCACTTTTGTCTCTGGCCCCGCCCACCCTGCACATGTCTCCCTGATAGGTTGCCCAGATGAGAAGGCTGAAAAGGGTTGCTTGCCCCTAGTGTGGAGAGATGTGCCTTACACTTTCACCCAACTACTCCAAGGCAGCTCATGGGGCTTTTCATAGCAGGTGCTCCCAGTGGTTTTGGAAGGAAAGCTACAAAATATTTGAGGGCCTATCATCTGATTGGAAGGGCATATATTTATTGCTGGAGCTTGCCTGCCTGTGATTATGACACAGCCATTATGTGGTTGGTACAATGTAGTGGCAGAGGCAGTGATCCTGTGTATGCTTATGAGGGAGCAAGTCAACATGGGAACTTGGGAACTTGCTTCTAAGTAAAGATGCCTCAGGGTGGCAGATTCAAAAACTCCTGACTAAGAAGGGGGGAGAAATTGGATTTGGCTGGATTTTAATGAAAAAGTACCTAATTCAGCTGATTTTAAACTAAAGCCTGATTATCCTTCAAAATTTGCACTTCTCTGACTTCTATAATGCAGTTTTCCAGGCAAAAGCAATTAATACAAAAATGCATATATTAGAGGGAAAGTGCATATAAAAATGCATACACCTGTGAAAAGAACATACAAAAGTGCATTGTATTAGGGGAAATTGCTTGTAGAAATGTGTATATTCAAATAAACCCACACTAAAATGCTAAAAAACTTTTATGATACTTAAAAAAAATGCTACAGAAATGTGAAGAATTAAATTTAAAATTAAGGTAGGAAAAATGAGAAACTGAAATTGACAGATTCATCCACCCCAAGTCCCAAATAAAGCAGCAGTCCTAACCCTGCTTTCCTGTGATTAAATACAGCGTTCTTCAAAGTAAACTTGGTTACGATTGTGGTATGAAATAGCATATTGAATGGGCAGGGGAGGTAAGGGGAAAGGGTTGAACCTCACTCACTGTCGTGGCCACATTTCAGTGGATGGGTGGGGCTTTGTGAAGATAAATTTAAAACTTTTACAAGAATGCTTGAATCATGGATCATCAATGCCTTGTCAATACCACTTCCACTCTAGGGTGGGAGCAAATTGCCGTACCCCCAATCACCCAAAAAGAGCCAAGTTCATTTAGCCCTTGGGAGGAGCTAGTGGTGGTCTATTGTTGGGTTCAGACCGATTCCCAGCCAAGATGGATGAATTTATCCGTCAATTCCTCCCCAAACTCTCCCTCCTCTTTATGGCATCCTCCCTTCCTCCCTTTTAGAGTGTGAGCTGTGCTAGACACCTGTAAAAGGGTCTGAGTAGGAGTTTTGGGGGAAGCCCCTAATTGACTCAGGATAAATTTCTGTTAAATTCCTGAGGCATTGTGGGTAGGTGTACTCTTTGGTTGCCTTATGCTGCATTGCTTTGTGGGAGATTGGAGGTGCCCTGTGGTCAGGGCATGTGTGCCAGGGAGAACACTGAACTCGTGGGGCCATGGTGTGCTTGTTTGATTCACAGCCCATGCTCCTGTTAACAAGGAGGAAGAGGTCATTTCAATTCTTGCTACTGGAACACAGGTGGCTCCTGATTATATGTCCAGGAGCAAGAAGAGAAAGGATTTCTCCTCCTATAAGGAACTGCCCTCCTCAAGCTATTTTGATTCAGTTGATTTGTTCAGTCTAGTTACTTGTTTATGTGGATCCTCCTCATTCCTGTAGTTATATTTCAATAAATGTAACCTTTCCCCATTTTAAATTGAGTCTTGAGTCTTCTTAAAGGTGTGGTGGCAACTCCCTTCTCATTAGTGAGCATGTTGGATAGTTCACATTTTTTTCTGCCTCATTCCTGCCCTGCAATATGGTGGTGAGAGGAGCCTACCTCGCAGGGTGGTTGTTAGCATGATGGAGGCAATGCATGCAGAGTGCAGTGAGCACGCCATCTGCAAGGTTTAAACACTGCATGTGGTTTTTTTCCTGCAAGGAAAAAAGTTTCTGCTTTGGAAGGACATGGACTTTTGAGAACTTTACCCCTGGATGACTGCTCAGTGAGTTTGAAAGCCAAAGCCCCACTGTAACCTAAGCAGTTAATAAAATCTATTGCCCCATGATGGATTTTTTCGTCAAGTAGAATTGATCTGTCCTCCTTGTGATTTGCGAGATGGAGGGGGAAACAGGAAATGCAATCAGGATTTCTGGTGCCCCTGAAAGAGCCCCGTTCTGTCAGTCTTTTCAAGCCTGGGAGTAACTGAAGGCTGTGGTGGTCATTCCTTTGATTTATTGAAAATAAAACACCCTTGATTAACATTTTAATAAAGAAGGTCTTTCTTTTGGCACGCAGGGTCTGAGGAGCTATTCTCTCCTATCGTGCAAATCGTTTCCTTCAACGGTGAGGGGAAGAATTACCTCTTTCCAGAAATCCATAAAAGAAGAAGTGATTTCTTAAGCTGTTACTTGTACACACCGAAGTGAGAGCTTTCTTGGGGTGCTCTCTCTCTCTCTCTCTCTCTCTCTCTCTCGTGTGTGTGTATGTGTGTGTTTGTCTGCTTGCGAGGGGTGCGCTCCCGATATGCGTTATGCAAAAATGAGGATGATTTGTGAAGAAATCATCCTTGTAAAGCTATTGGTTCTGGTCATCAGCCTTTATCCAATGCTTTGGTGATGCTGCTGCTGATCTATTTGGGAAGTTGGCTGGCTCTCAAGGCAGTCTCTCTCCCTCTCCCTCTCCTCTCTCTCTCCTCAAAGGCTGTTCCACAGTGAAAATATGCTCAGTGCAGTTGAGTGCATGAATGAAAAAGCCTCCAGTATCTTCTAGGCTAGCAAAATGCAGCACAAGGCTCAACTTACCCTGGCTTTCCTCCTGTCCCAGGTAAGGAATTTGGTGCTTTGATCTGGTCTTAGGGGTTATGTGCTTGTGTGTATCTGTGTTTCTTTCTCGGGTTTTTTGGGGGGGAATGTTTTGCATTTGGCTATCTGGAAGTGTCTTGATTTCTCAACGATCGCATGCCGACTTGAAAAACACACAAGATACGCACGATGAAGTGTGGATGTGAGAAGCAATTCTCCGATGTGAAAAATGCCTCTGTGTGCTTTCCAGTGACAGGAAATTAGCGACATAATACGTGTGTGTGCATGCAAATTGTATTTCCTTCACATGAAAGAGAGTACGGATTGCTGGTTCCGTGGTGCCAGCAACAAGATATTCTATCACCTTCAATGCTTCAACTTTGATTTTTATTTTTTTTATTTTTTTGCTTCTCCTTCCTATGGCTTCTGCCAGGACAAGATCATTACATTGCTTACTCCCCACACTCGTTAAAAAGAAAAGAGGAAGGGGGGGGGGGACATGATAAAGATTTTTTAAAAATAAAAATGTGGAAGAATAAGGGCTTTCCCCTGCCTCTCCTTCTCTGCCCTACCGCTTTGGTGAATTTGTAAAATCGAGTATTAATGAGCAGCTCAGCAGCCTTACCTCCCGCCCTCTTCTCAACTGTAAAAGATCCCACCCCCACCCCTTGCAAAAAGGTAAAAAAAAAAAAAAGGACATAGACACCCAGCCTTTAAAAAGCCAAGAGGCTGTGGAGCCCTGCTGTTGCTGTCAGTCAATAGCCGAGGAACTAGCTGCTCTCCAACTTCTGCACTCCTCCCTTGCCTTCCCCTCTGTGAATATGATACGGATTTCATTTTGGGAAGCAGCGTGTGATGTTTAAGGCTCCTTTGTTGTCATTCGGTGTGATGCTCCTCCATCCCCTTGTTCATCCCCCCTCTCCTCTCGCTTGTCTTAGGGAGCTTAATCTCTCATTCAGCTACAAGTCTCTGTCTCTTGGATCCCTGGGATGGTACTCCATGGTGATAAAAGTTAATTCCCTATTGGCTTGGAGACTCGACTCGTTTTTTTGCTTTTAACCCTTGAGGGTGCATAGGAGACCAATGCCTCGGGCGAGAGCAACTTAATGTGCACGATGTCTTCCAAATGAGAGGAACAGCTGTAGCTCGCTGGTAGAACATCTACTCTGCAGGCAGAAGGTCCCAGGTCCAATCCTCAATGGTCTTGCACCTCCAGATAGGACTGGGAAGGACTCCTGCCTGGAAACCTGGGGAGCTGCTGCTAGCCAGTGTAGAAAATGCTAGCTATGATTTGACTTTGTAAGGCAACTTCTGAAGTTCCTAAAACATCATAAATCTGGCTGCCTTCTACTAGGTCACAATGTTTGTCTATCCAAGCCACTGCTGTCTGCTCTGACTGGCAGCAGCTCTCCAGGGTCTCAGGCAGAGGTCAGTCCTAGCAACTGCTACCTGGCCATTTTAGCTGGAGTTGCCAGGGATGGGATTTAGGAACCCTTTGCATGCAGAACATGTTCTTCAGCACTGAGCTATATGGCCCCTCAGCACTTCGACAGCCATCTCTATTTATGGTATATAAGTTGCAACTATTTCTCTCTCCTCTTACTGTATTTTTTTTCTATTGAACCTGGAAAAATGGGACCTCCATGTGTATTTTAGAGACAAAACTGTGAAGATACTAGTAGAGTACAGAAACAAGTAATAAGTCACAGTTCCCTCTGTTCAACCGCAGCAGGGTAGTGTCACATGCGTGCTCATAACTTAGAGCGGGGGCACTACAAATTGGTGTCGTTGGGCTTGGTGATTGCTTGGGTAGTGATTTAAGGACAAGACCTTCCATTTATTGAATTAACTCATTCTTTGAAAGTTTTCTAGCATGTAGCAAGCTGGGATCTTGACCAATGCTGCAGTAACTCCCATTACCAGTAGCTCCACCAAAAATGTTAGCTTTACTACAAAGTCCCAATGTTGTGTGAATCTGGCTCCTAGTTGTGTACACTGGTGTTAGGGCAGCAAGAGTTATGGCTCTTGTCTCCTAATACAGCTTGATTAAGGCTGATTACAGCTCTTCATTGTCAAGTGAGAATCAACTATGGTTGACCATGTGAAAGCCATGGAGAGGAGGTTCACTAACTGAAATGTACTGAAGTGGTCTTGAAGCAACAAAATCTAGGGAGCTGTGGCGTGGGTGCAATTTACATGGCAACTGGATGTGCTGAGGCCATTTGAAATATGTGCAGGTGCTGTGTGGAAGAGGGGGAACTGTGTGCATGTAATAAAAATGGATGGGACAGGATGTGAAGAGAAAACCAAAACAACTGGTCAGTGGTTTAACTGGTTGCAACTAGCGAATATATGCATACACTTTGGAGTGTGAGAGGGTTGTGGTATTTGTGATGTTGCTACTGGTGACAAAATAAGGTGTCAGATGTGCCTTTCCCCCAGTGTGTGACTTGGCTTACTTGCTTGAGCTATCTGCTCTGCAGTCCTCTTGTGTGATGCACCTTGCTGTCTCTCCTGCCCTTTGTTTGTAGCAGCACACTATGATTTGGAAGATTTTCCCTTTAAGGTTTCTGTAGTTGGGCACACAGAGATAGACTTCCTGCGGTCAAGGAGAAAGAAAAGGTGAAATATAAAAGGAGAAGAGGAAGGAGGCAGGTGGAGAAAAGGAAAAGAGCAAAGGCTGGTAGAAAATAGGATGATGAGTTAAATGTTGTGGCTCAAATCCAAATGATTGTGCCCTCCTTGCAAGGAATCAGGTACTTACTGTCTATCATCTATCTATCTATCTATCATCTATCTATCTATCATCTATCTATCTATCATCTATCTATCTATCTATCTATCTATCTATCTATCTATCTATCTATCTCTCTATCTATCTATCTATCTATTCAAAAACCTGCTCCTCTGTCAAGCTATTCAGATGCCCTTGGACAAATGACTATGTCTCAGCTTAACAGACTTTACAGGGATGTTGTGAGTTGGAAATGCAAGCCTGAGCTCTTTAGCAGAAGGGCATTCAAGACACACATGGGTAGCACTGCTTTTTTGGGGGGAGGGGGCAGGTAAACAACAATCCTGCAGGAGCTGACCTGTTTCTAGTCACATGCTGGTATGTTCAAATGTTAGTTTTCTGCTCTAACAAGTCCTCTTTTATCAGCATGGCTGGAATGTGTGAAAGTCAGTCTGCTTCTCCTTCTCACCTGTATTTCATGACTCATACAAAAGATAGACATGATAGAATGTGGGCCAACATGTCCTTTGTTAAAGATCAGATTGTATCAGTTGATAGGGCTTGTCCTCAGAAGCTGCTTCAGTGCCAGAACTCAATGTCAAAACACATGGAGCAAAGCAAATGAAGAAAAGATTAACTCTGGGTATGTACAAAGTGCTCCACCCTGGTGACAGAGTTGAAATGGAGAGGAGCAAGGTTTGCAAACTGGAACAGGTGATTCACTCTTCTTCTTCTTTGGGAAAGCAATGACTCTCTGATTGAAATACCACACTTTTGTGGTGGAAATATTAGGAGAAAGAGGCATTGATGAGAAGCCTTGCGACAGCTGGTGAGATGATGAGGAAAAGGCTGCTGTTAAAGGGGCTACTCAGATGGATTGCTTGACTTGGATAGCTTCCGTGCAGCAGCAGAACTAAATGGTACAAAATGGGAGAAGTTACCTGCATGCAGCCATCTGGCAAGGCTCATAAGTGCAGTGATATTTTTCTCTTCCTCAGAAGCAGCTACAACTCATTATTCCTTGATATCCGGCAAGTGGAAATGGGCAACATTGATCTTGATCAACTGATTTATAAGCGATGCAAATCTGTTGCTGTAATGCCTTCCAGGGAAGAGTATAATTCAGGTTTGAGTTAACGATCTAAGTTTGGGTCACGGTGATTAGGGAGAGAAAGCACCTTCTGAGCAGTGTGTTGTAGGCCCATCAACAATCTAAACATGCATAAATTACTCAATAGGTGAAAATGATTTTTTTTTAAAAGGGGGGGGGCACAAAGATCATGCACTCCCAACAGAACTTTGTGAGACAATCCTCTGCTGTTCTGGGGGACAGTTGAGGTTCAGATGTGTTGAAGAGTCTTCTTACATATCATAGTAATAATAGCAGACTGGGTGTGTGGAACTGAGCTGTAATTCCCCTTTCTGTGCTTTTGGAATAGTGTCAGGAGCAGGGAGTTATGGCCACATCTGGAATGTGTACATCTTTCCAGAAGGAAGATGCAGAATTCCTCCTACATACATTTCCACTGAGGCATCTTGGTTCCCACAAGTTGGCCATAGTACATCAACACATGACCAGATCATCACTGGTGGGAACCAGCACATGTAAGTTTCTAAAATGGGGATAGGCTGTGGAACTCCAACCCCCATCAGTCTCAGCCAGCGTGGCCACATTGTGAGGGATGATGGGGTTATAACCTAGCAACATCTGGAAGGACACTCCTGACCTAAAGCAATTTCCCTATGTTACATAAATGGGCCCATAGCTATGCCTGGTGCCTGTTATAACAAAGAGCGGGGTGTGGGTGTGTGGGTGTGGGTGTAGCACTCCATTAAGCTCTTATGTCCCATTGGTATTTACTATGGATTGCACACCCTAACACAAAGGAGGACTCTCAACTGCAGGCAGCGTTCTGTGCATGCTGGAGCCACTCCAGTCTCTTCTGTGACTTCATGAAACTTGCCAAATGGTATAGTTTTCATACACACAGAACCTGCACATCTTTCTGCAGTGTGATCAGTGTACAGAAATTCCTGCCATCTTCCCAGTACCAATGGAACAGAGAAGTGTCACAATGGAGAGCATTCAAAAGCCAATATCAAGTGGTAGGCTAGATGGCTATGGCTGGCCACTTCTCTATTTATAGAAATAGACAGACCAGTCTAATTCATTTTCACATACCTTTAATGCTAAATTCACTGTGCCCCATTTTCTGTGAATTCTTTTAAACTGCTGAAATATTCACATTTAAAATGCACGTGTTTGTAAGCACTTTCTTTGCAATACATTTTGTCCCTGAAATATACTTCTTTTTTGTGCTCAAACTGCATTGCACATAACTGGCAGTGCATGTGTGCAAACATATTGATACTTACATTCTGCTCTGTGTAGAAGTTTGTGAAGTCTGTGCATTTGTTTTAAAATTTGAGACCAAATGTACTTTGGGCTTATCCACCCTTACCTTTCCACTGCTCTTTCCAGGCATGGTCTGCACTTTAAAGATTTGTGTCTTAGCAACACCCCTTTTTTTATTTGCACCAGAGCTTTCCCCATGAAAACACACTCTTTAAAGCTCAATCAGAGCAAATGGCAATCCACTGAGAACTTGATGTTTGCTCTGGTTTAATGCTAAGGAGCAGCTTTTGCAGGGCAAAAAAAAATCCCACTTGAACACGGAGCTTTTAAGCATGGAGCTGTGCCTGGAAAGAGTGGAATGAAAGGTCCTACATACATCTCTGCTGATTTCTAAAAGGAGGGAGAAAGGTATACAGACTGTTGAGGTTGTTTAGAATTGACACTGGAAGGGGGGTGTCCAGGTCCTACTCTTTATAAAAGTTCACCTTATCCAGCCATTGGCTTCATGCTTTATAGCAATTTTTTTTCCACATGATGAAGTTGGGCATGGAGTGCTCATTTGCTAAGATGGGCTAGAAATAATAGGCATA